AATAGAAGGCCTCTAGCCTCTGGAGGATCTTAAGCAGGCAAGGCACAGGCTGGAAATGATTTGGAAGCTGCTTCTGGGGACAAACATGACATGACCACAGTTCTTAACCCACAGCAAACCCACCCGGGGAGCTCAGAAAGATTAATGCCATAGTCCTACACCAGGCCAACTACATCAGAATCACCTGGCAATAAGAGGCTATTTTACAGTTAAGCAGTTTCCACATCTCTGCTTGCAATGAAACAGAATGCAGATGTAATCAACAGTCAGCTGAAAGATCATCCAAAGTTTTGATAAAAGATCACTGCATGATGTTGGGTTTATAAACCAAAGAAGATCCAAGTATTCAGTGACGCTGCTCTACCAAAACTCCCTCTGTGCCAGGCACAGTGGTGGTGAGCACCTGTGTCCAAGATACTCAGAGGCTGAGGTGGGAAGATGGTTTGAGTCCAAGAGCTCAAGACAAGACTGGGCAAAATAGTAAGATCCCACCTCTAACAGAAATTTAAAATTTAAAAAATAACCCTATCTCCATCTACTACTTAAGAGAACACAGTTTCTCGGAATTCATGTATATAAAAACAAAAAGTGGAAGTGGTACTGAACTTGTCTGACAATAGTATTCATTCAGATGGGGGTGGGGGAGTGACATCCCACTAAGATCTCACCTTTCAAAAAATGTTTACTTTTGTATTATAATTATTCAAAAACTGTGTAATGCATTTACTTTCATCAAGTGTGTACAGATAATTATAATAATCCCAAATAAAATATTAAAACTTAGTTTCACCGTCTCAATGAAATCAAAAAGTTTAAATCATATTTATTTTACTTGCAGAAGAATATGGTAGGCTAATGAATAACATTTTCAAGTATTAAGTATATGGCATTAGGATAAAATTCCGTGTGGAAATGAAAATACAAGTTCAATTAAAAAACTGATGTACTGGCCAGGCACAGTGGCTCACACCTGTAATCCTAGCACTTTGGGAGGCCGAGGTGGGCAGATCACTTGAGGCCAGGAGTTCGAGACCAGCCTCGCAAACATGGCAAAACCTCATCTCTACTAAAAATACAAAAAATTAGCTGGACATGGCAGTGTGCGCCTGTAATCCCAGCTACTCAGGAGTCTGAGGCAGGAGAATCTCTTGAACCCGTGAGATGGAGGTTGCAGTGAGCTGAGGTCGTACCACTGTACTCCAGCCTGGGAAACAGAGCATGACTCTGTCTTTTAAAAAAAAAAAAAAAAAAAAAACTCTACTAAAAATACAAAAACTAGCTGGACATGGTGGTGCACACCTGTAATTCCAGCTACTCAGGGGGCTGAAGCAGAAGAATCACTTGAACCAGGGAGGCAGAGGTTGCAGTGAGCCGAGACTGCGCCACTGCACTCCAGCCTGAGTGATAGAACAAGATTCCCGTCTCAAAAAAAAAAAAAAAAAAAAGTGGATATCAAATTGCAATATTTAGA